AAAGGCATCAAATTACAGATTAGACATTCTTATATTATGTCAACAAAAGTTAGATTTTATTTCCATCATTTACACTTTCAAAATAACAGAAAACAAAAAAATGGCGTCTGCAAAAGTTTGGGCACCCTGCAGAATTTATAGCATGCACTGCCCCCTTTGCAAAGCTGAAACATGCTAGTGACATGGATTGTTCACAATCATCGTCTGGGAAGACCAGGTGATGGCAATCTCAAAGGTTTTAAATGCCCAGACTCATCTGACCTTGCCCCAACAATCAGCACCATGGGTTCTTCTAAGCAGTTGTCTAGAAAACTGAAACTGAAAATAGTTGACGCTCACAAAGCTGGAGAAGGCTATAAGAAGATAGCAAAGCGTTTTCAGATGTCAATATCCTCTGTTCGGAATGTAATTAAGAAATGGCAGTCATCAGGAACAGTGGAAGTTAAAGCAAGATCTGGAAGACCAAGAAAAATATCAGACAGAACACCTCGCAGGATTGTGAGAAAAACAATTCAAAATCCACATTTGACTGCACGATCCCTCCAGAAAGATCTGGCAGACACTGGAGTTGTGGTACACTATTCCACTATAAAGAGATACTTGTACAAATATGGTCTTCATGGAAGAGTCATCAGAAGAAAACCTCTTCTACGTCCTCACCACAAAAATCATCGTTTGAACTTTGCAAATGAACATATAGACAAGCCTGATGCATTTTGGAAACAAGTTCTGTGGACCGATGAGGTTAAAATGGAACTTTTTGGCCGGAATGAGCAAAGGTACGTTTGGAGAAGAAGGGGCACAGAATTTAATGAAAAGAACCTCTGTCCAACTGTTAAGCATGGGGTTGGATCAGTCATGCTTTGGGGTTGTGTTGCAGCCAGTGGCACAGGGAACATCTCACGAGTAGAAGGAAAAATGGATTCAATAAAATTTCAGCAAATTTTGGATGGTAACTTGATGCCATCTGTGAAAAAGCTGAAGTTAAAGAGAGGATGGCTTCTACAAATGGATAATGATCCTAAACACACCTTGAAATCCACGGGGGATTACATCAAGAGGCGTAAACTGAAGGTTTTGCCATGGCCTTCACAATCTCCTGACCTCAACATAATTGAAAATCTATGGATAGACCTTAAAAGAGCAGTGCGTGACAGACCGCCCAGAAATCTCAAAGAACTGGAAGACTTTTGTAAGGAAGAATGGGCAAAGATACCCCAAACAAGAATTGAAAGACTCTTGGCTGGCTACAAAAAGCGTTTACAAGCTGCGATACTTGCCAAAGGGGGCAGTACAAGATATTAACTCTGCAGGGTGCCCAAACTTTTGCAGACGCCATTTTTTTGTTTTCTGTTATTTTGAAAGTGTAAATGATGGAAATAAAATCTAACTTTTGTTGACATATTATAAGAATGTCTAATCTGTAATTTGAAGCCTTTTGGAGATTTTTCCATCTTTCCTTGGCTTCTTTATGCACATTAATACAAATTGTTAGCTGGGGTGCCCAAACTTTCGATCCCCACTGTGTGTGTGTGTATATATATATATATACACATATATGTATACCATCTAATCCTACCCAGTACTGCCTGTACTACAAGTCTCCTTCCTCCCTCCCCCTCCTCTTACTACTCAAGCTGCACAACCCGCCTTGTACTCCCAATATACTATATATATGCCCCATTTCTGTTTTATTTCGTTTTTTGAAAAACCCCCAACAACTGAACTATTCATATATCGCCTAAGACTTTCTGTGTGAACTCTATACCCATCACCACCTCTCTTGCGCCAGTTACATCTTCTTTGTGTGTCTGGACATCCCTTGGTCAACTGACCCCAATAAAAGAAAAGATTGTCCAAAAGGATCCAAATGATTTTTCTATGACAAAAATATCATTTGTGGGTACACAGGCCCTTTAACAAGCACATCATTTGAAGAGCTAAATACGGTTTCCTGCCAGACGAATTAAGCTTGTAATTTTAGAAATATGAGCATAGTAAGTCTGTAGACTTTTTTATTAGCTGGCACTCGATTATATTTGGCTTATTAGTTCTCATTAGACCTGCCTGTGTTTTGTGAAGTTTACAGTTCATGCCAGTCCTGCTGTGGTTTTTAGCTGTGCTCAGTGGCTGGAATATCTATTGCTTGGTTGCTATTGTATAAAATTGTAATTACCAGACGCTGTATTGGCCGCATATTTATTACAATGTACCTTGAGAGATGTAGCCACAGATACATAATGCTATATCTTCGGGATTGCGGTTTTGCAGGCAGAGACTGAGCTTGCGGATCAGCCAAGTAATAAAGTGACTTTGTTTAGGCTTGCTTTATTAAATATAAAACGCATCGTCTTGAATGATGTGCAGTCTGGGCATACCCCTGCTGGCTACTACTAGTCCCTGGCAGTTGAAGTACACGTTAGTCAAAACATAATTCAATCAGAAAATGCAGGCAGCGCACGTCCTACATGTCCAAGGCTCTTTTTTTTTTCATCCAGTTTTTGCTGGAGGTCTTTTAGACCGTGTTACTATCTGAAAAATGCCTTGGGCATTCTGGTTGCTTGGGTTTTAGGTATGTGTTATTGCATGTCAAGTAGAAATTTCATTCATTTTTTTGTTGAAAAAAGACAGAACGTAAAAGCACCACAAAACCATCTGACATAAAGCAGACTTTTCCAAAGAAAAACAGTTCTGACGTTAAGACATTGCATCTCAATGGTTTTGATGTTGCACTCTTGTGTCTGTAGATATTGTAATGTAACAAAAATGTAAACTGAAGCACCACACCACTGCTAAGAGGTCCAGATACAACTATATTCCAATGAAAATCAGGGGTACAATCCAAAAAGTATCCCAACACGTTTCGGAGCCCAAGAGCGCCCATTCAGCAGGGCTTTTCCAGTGTGAATTACAAGCACATGCCTTATTATTATTATACAGGATTTATATAGCGCCAACAGTTTGCTCAGCACTTTACAATATAATGGGAGACAATACAGCAACAATACAGTTCAATACAAGAGAGATAGAAGGGCCCGGTTCCTCGGAGCTTACAATCTAGGAGATCAGCAGCTCATTTGGCTTGTTAGGCTGCCAAGCAAGCTGCTGTCAAAGCCTGCGCTTGTAATTCACACTGGAAAAACCCTTCTGAATGGGGCGCTCTTGGACCCCAAAACAATGCGGGTATTTTTTGGATTGTACCCCTGACTTCTAAAGTTGTATCTGGACCTCTAAGCAGTGGCGTGGCACTCCATTCCATTTTTAACTTTTATTACATCTGTGGACACAGAGTGCCCCTGACACCAATGCTTGCGGTCCACGGTGCATTCCAGCTCCCACCAGCACACGCCAGATACAGACACCTTTTCACCCCAGCATCTCATTGCAGTACATGGCAGACCAGTCACCTTGGTTTATGAGGAGCCCATCACATTTAGATGCATGTGAGTTGCCTAACTTATGTTTATTAAAATTTTCAGAAGTCTACACTTTAAAGACACTATGTTTTTCCTTTTTGTGTGCAAATCCAGAGCTAGCTTATACTCTCAACCTTAGTGGGAGGACTTTGTTTTACTACATATATTGGACTATGACGTGAAATGAAGATTTGTGTAAATATTTGTACAGAAATTCTCAGTATTATTATTATACAGGATTTATATAGCGCCAACAGTTTGCTCAGCGCTTTACAATATAACGGGAGACAATACAGCAACAATACAGTTCAATACAAGAGGGTTAGGAGGGCCTGATCCTTGGAGCTTACAATCTAGGAGTACATTCAATGGCTTGACAAATGTCATTCAAGATGTAGTTTGCTTTTAACAATCGATTTTGGAATGAGTGTAATTTCCCAATAGAAAATAACATAGACTGTTAGAAAACCGTACGTTGAAGAAAAATTCTCCATCCTGCTCCTTCGAATTTTCTTGTCACGAAAACAAACAATGATTTCTCCCCACGTTGGTTTTAAAAATCTACTAGTATTTGCTCAGCTTTATTTCCAGTGATCCAACACCCGCAAGGTCCCCTGCTGGCGCCAGCATCTTCTTCCTGGGGTTAGTCTGGGTGCTGGTCTTCGGCCATATTGATTGGCCAGCGCACTGGTAGTGTGCTAGAATGCAAAGTGAGCTGTGCAACCGCGGCTCAGTGTACATTCTGCAGAGCATTGCGAATAGGCAGGTAAGTGTACTTTGTTGCAGAAGAGACATTGCAATAAAAAGCCTGCCTCTGTGAAGCGTGATTTAACCGTTTCCAAAACCATTTCACGGCATGCCTTGAATAACTATCACATTTGTTTGTGCTCTCGTCACCTTTTCATGGCTGGTGTCATAATGGATCACATGTGCAGCACTATGGCAACTGCAAAACAAGCAGAGGCTAGGATGGCAGCTTCCTTGGCTGTAAATGATAGGAGGGTTATGCTTTAAAGTGGAACTTCACTCTCTCAATGCACTATTTTTAATCCTTTTACTGATCACATTAGTATTATTATTATTATTATACAGTATTTATATAGCGCCAACGGTTTGCTCAGCACTGTTAGTAAATAGATAGGAAAGTGTATCACATTTACTTGTTTTAAAACTTTTTTTTTTTCTTCATTTACTTCCTGGTTTCCATGCTTAGGCAAATTATTTCTACATCCCAGGAGACTCTTCAGGAGGGGTCTTCTCAGCTAAGCACACCCTTTTGCCTTCATGCCTGATCTAAGGGTAGTTGGATTCCAGGAAGTAAATGCTACATCATCTGCCCTCACTAAAGATGGCCATGGCCAGAAATGCTAGGGGTGTTTTTCAAAGTGATTTCTGAGCAAAATAAGACCTAAAAACATGAATAGATGAGTGAGTTTGCTTTGAATGTTAAAAATGACTTAAATAGCGTTTTTTTTTTGTTTGTGGTGCTCAGATGCAGTGTAGTTCTGCTTTAAGGAAACAGTATACAATGTGAAACACCTCTAAATAAAATGGCACATATTAACGGAACATTTTACTTTTCAGGTGGTAGAGTGTGCTCCTTCTCACCATGCATAGAACAAGTACAGAGAACCAGTCTAGCCCTGGATCAACATGGCTTCACCGAGATCAACACCCTAGAGATCCTCCTGCGTGTTTACGATGTCAGAGGTGTCAGTCTGCCAGTCCCAGATTTTGGGACGCCTGCAGAGGAGAAAGGAGATGCCAATAAGTCCAATCAGCTCCCCGCTTCCCAGCCGGGCACAGTGCAGTTTAGAAGCGGAGTATCGCCCAGAGAAATGGTGGGTCACACCGGGTACCTGACCTTTGCCACCAAGAGTTTATTTTAGGATTTTCCTTTGGAGCAGTGAGCCTTGTGCACATCTGTGGGGAGAAAGCTCCATATATAGCCAGACTCAGCTGAAGAATGCATTTATGTAAACAGCACATTCACGCTGAATGGCACGGACTGAACCAGAGAAGTTACAGTGCGCATCAGCAGCTCTGCCAGGGAATGAAGACATCGTCTTGCTGCAGCCAGTTTTTTCTTTTGTGTACAAATAATAAAAGTTCTTTTTGTTTTTTGGGTTTTTTTTTTTTTTTTTCATGATGTCGGCTTGGTTATAAGATTGGTCTAAGCCCTTTAAAGATTATGATAATCCGCTATCTCAGAGACTGTCACATTGAACAGAGCTTGCAAGTGTTTCATCATGCTGTCTTTTACTGCACTGCAGAAAACTGCGGCACTGCACTGTTCAGCTCTTGTACATCGCTGAGGGTTGTCATACTTTGTGCTATAGTGGTGTTTAAGGCTAGGTTCACGTTCTACATCGCACAGGAATGTGCACTGCATGTCTGTGTAGTTCACACACGATTCGATGTGATTTCAGCCCATTCATTTTGAAGGTGCTCAAATTGCACTGCATTGCAACAAATTAGTGCATGTACTACTTTTAGAAATACACTGCAACCCGCTCATATGCAGGCAAATGCACTTCATTTTGGACCTGGGTGTGGAGTGTCGTTAACATTGCACTGACACCTGCTGCAGATTGCAAGGGCAGTACGTTTTGAACGTGGTACGGGAAGTGCACGTGGATTGTGGGTTTCCCGCACCGTGTTCTAGTGTGAACCCGGGCTAAAAAAAAAAAAAAAAAAAAAAAAACAACAAACAGTATTATAAACATAATAATAAAAATGTGAAAAATATACAAATCACAAATAATAGCGCAAACCAAATCACACAACTAAATATAACCACCACCAAATAAGTGCATATTAATAGTGTAAACAAAAAAAAATCAATAAATAGGGAATCTCAATATAGTGCATTCAGAAAAGTCCATATAAACATGATCCTCAGTAAATGAAGTAATGAGATTCTCCTTCATAAGCAATGTGGTATTCAGTGCTCAAAAACACCCCATCAAAATGCACACTCACCATGTGCTAGTAATTAACCAGCATGTCAGTATATATCCAGCATTCACCAAAGAGACTTCAAAGGACGATCCTCATGTGTTGGTTATTACTCAGCATACTACTATGTATCCAGCATATCACCAAACAAACTCCAGAGAAGATCCTCTCATATCCAGATTAGCACATGTGGGTAAAATAAATACTTGCCATAGTGCAATATCATCCAACAAATTTATTGGCAAACAAACCCCCCTTAAAATCACACTCACAATGAGCAAATAAAAACAAGGTGTTTTGTTATATCAGAGCTCCAGTCTCTGCATCCTGTGTCTCACCAGCCAGCCCGCCCGCCCGCATTCAAGATGGTAGTAGTGTGATCACGTGATCCGGACACATGCATCAGCATGAGTAGTGATGTCACAGGAAGGCCACATCTGATGCGTTTCGTCCAATGTCTTCTTCCGAGGGAATCTCTTGTTCAGAATAATAGGCACATCCGGTAGCAGTACCTACTGCTTCTGGTGTTATGACAGAACCATTTTCTTTTTATCTTTTCTTTTTTTTTCCAAAAATTTTTTTATTTTGTTAACAAAAGTAAATACAGACAAGATATTTCAATAAAGTGAAATTGTACAGAAAATCTATCCTACATATAACAAGTCAGCAAGTATCATTGAAGTCTGGTGTTTTAGCAAAGAGAAACTAGAACTGGCCTCAAATATCAGTTGGTGCGACTCGTAATTATGGAGCATGGGGAGAGGAAGGATAAGGGCAAAAATCAAATGAGGGAGGTGACAGGGCTAGCTTTGGAAAGTCAATGATGCTAAAGGTTGTTTGTGAATTGGGGAGCACCAGTTCTCTCAAGGAGATGATTGCCAATGCCTAGAGCACAGGGGAGTGAATAAAAGGTACTGAGCGAATGGCACTAAAATAAGGGTTCCAATTTTATAATTTCTTTGACAAACCAATAAAATATTAGACCAATTCTGGTCTACACCAAGACAAACAATATGATCCAATGAACATTAATGTATAGTCAAAGGCTTGTCTATGATTGGTACCCTGCTGTTCCTACTCCTTCCAACATTCTTTCCACTTATTTCTTCTCTATTCTAACTGCCTGGATCCTGCCTGCCCTACAAGCATAAGCACTCTGAGTTCTAAACTTAAAGCGGACCTAAATCCATCGATTTAATGGTTTAAAAAAAAAAAAGTTACATTCCTGGCCTTCTGGGAATACTAAGGGCTCATCCACACCATGGTGCAGAGACGTCAGTTTTTCTGGACGTGTTGCGTACGGGCACAACCAAATCAATTGTTCTCTATGTGCTCTGCAACACTAGTATCACAGGCATATATTTTTCTGTGCAGGAATCTGTAATGTGTATAAAACTCATGGAATCGTGCATGAAAACTGATGTCAGTTGAAATCTGCATGTCATTTTGCATCAGTTCTTCTGCAAGTATGGTATGACCGAGGCCTGACTGTCACATCTGCTTGTGCTCTCAACCAAGCTGTCAAACCATCAAATGGCTGTTCTAACTGATGGCATGTGCAGCACCATGGCAGTTGCAGATCAAACAGAAGATAAGATGGCAGCTTCCTTGGCTGAAAAGGAAAGGAGTGTGTAGTTCCACTTTAACTGTCAGTAATTGCTTCACCATTGAATGGACTCTGTCATTATTTTTAAAAAGTGCAGAGAAGCCCAGCCTGTACAGAAAAGCATTATTTCTTTTCCCTTGTGCCACCAAACCCTGCTGTCTTCAAGAGATAAGCTATCAGAAGAATCATCAGCATCTGGCACACTCCCATCTCTGTTATATGTCTGTCCCCCGTCCCCTCCTCTCCTTACACTTTGTGGTTTCATCTGCTCATCCCTGAAGGCAGCAGTAGTCTATGGGCTGAGAGAAGGAACCAGAGTGTAGTGGGAAACCAAGCACTTCCGGCTACAGCGGGTGATCAAGAGTCTTCAGCAAGCTTATCTCTTGAGGACAGATGACTTTGGCATTTGCTACAACCAGCTGCTGAGAAGCTTACCTATACATCTTTCAATATTCACTCCACCACCTATTTCCAGAATCCAACTCTAATCAATAAATCTCGATCTAAGGAAGGGGTTGCCCTCTGATACCCCAAAACAGTTTTTTTTTTTTTGTAGCAGTTCTCTGTTAATCTCACCTACATTTGAACACTTGGGTTTTTATTTATTTCAGGTACTTATATAGCGCCGTCAATTTTCGCAGCGCTTTACATATATATTGTACATTCACATCAGTCCCCAACCCCAAGGGGTATACAATCTAAGGTCCCTAACACACATTCATACATACACATACTAGGGACAATTTAGACAGGAGCCAATTAACCTACCAGCATGTCTTTGGAGTGTGGAAGGAAACCGGAGTACCCGGAGGAAACCCACACAGGCAGAACATGCAAACGCCAGGAAGGTGGTGCCGTGGTTGGGATTCAAACCAACAACCCTAGTACTGCCAGGCGGAAGTGCTAACCATTTAGCCACTGTGCTGCCTTTGGGTTTTTTCACTCTGTTGTTGTTTCTTTAGCAATAAAAACCTTACATGAGCGCTAACCTTTCTCTATCCAAAACTATAAAAATTGTTGGCTTCTGATACACTTTAATCTGGATTAGACTCTCTCTGGCCAAAATTACAATATTTAGGTACACTCTATATCACTCCATATCTGGTGTATTAGCAACCCCCCCTTCTCTTTTCTAGCATCCCACATAGGTATAACAAGGCCCTTCAGTATGTATGCTGATGATATCCCTATTTTTTAACTTGCAAAAAAAAAAAAAAGGAAGCACATGTGGCAAAGGGTTTACAGGTTCATAGAATTCATGCTGACATGTTATGTTGCATAATCTTTTTATGCTAAGTGTTAGTTTATAATTATTTCTGTCATAATAGATTTGCTTTCAGTATTTTTTTATTAAATTTGAAACAGATGTGACCTGTTATTGTGAATATTGAATAAAAATTGTTTACAATGTTTTGCTGACAGAATTTTACATTAGGTAGTAGTGATATATTCAGATCATTACATAATAAGCAACGCTATATGAATGTAGAGTACATAATACAGTCCAGAGAAGTAGAAGGGACACAGGAATTGGGGAACAATTTGCAAAGTGGTTTTTCAGCCTTAAAGTGGTTGCAAGCCTCAGACGTGAAATATGAACAAAGCATATCCTTCTATAGTGTGTACTTGTCTCAATCCAAAGCACTAAGTGTCATTTCTTCATTCTTTTGCTATCAGCATGAATCACTTCTGATAAGCTGAGGGACCTCGAACAGATTCAGCTCTGTTCCTGTGTGAAGGAGCTGTGTCCCTTCCCACCAATAGGACTTAAAGGACTCCTCAGTGAGCTCTGCAGTGTGTAATTTTAGCTCCCTGCCCACTTTTTTCTGACAGCTGAGACACGTTTTTTAAATGCACGGATGTAGAGATAAACAGGTACAACTTATGTAGGAGGAATTTTTTAATCTCTGTGTATCACCTAAGACTAGTCACTTCACTGGGTATATGTAAGGGTTTACAACCATTTTTAAACAATCCCTATTTCTTTGCAAATTATCAGTAATCGCTAAACTGCAAGTCAGCCAAAACAAATTGTTATTGGATTCCAGATGTCAAGACTGATTTCCTTCAGGATTATTCATCAATGCAAGCAGCAGTGATGATGTCCATGCATGGTGACTCTTGAGAGCCCATCAGATCTCCTCTTTCATTAGAGGAGGAAGAATAATGATGAATACCTTTTGATAGGTTGCTATTATTTACTTACATTAAGCAAATTGTTTTTCAAAGAATACACGCTGCCGATATACTGAGTCCTTGTGATTTAAGAAGTCTTTCATCAGCATATTTGAAAAAACCTGCAAAAAGGGACAGAGAGGAATAGAA